GGTACTGTGAAATGACAAGGCAGCAGGATAAAGTTGATACAAGAACATTGGGGTTGTGCTCGTGTAACAAAAATGACCAACACAAACAGAATAGTTGTCCGAAGGATACAGGTCTTACTGTAAGATTGGAGTCCTAACTTAGTGAACTTTTCACAGATTTGTAAAACATCTGTGAAACATCTGAAGACAGTATCAGGCAGCCTTCCCCATCCTGAGGCTATCCAGATGTTGTTGGCTTAGGGTTGCCATATCTTGAAGAGCAAAAAAGAGGACAGACTGAGCCGTCGCCACCACACCTGCACTCCCCTTTCCCCAGCTCAGGCTGGCAGTGGCCGCAACATGCAGAGCAAACTGAACCCAAGTCGCCTGAGTCCAAGCTGCTGCCAGCCAAAAAACCTGAACCTTTAAAATATAAAAATCTGCCCAGATGGACAGGTTGCCTTCTCCCATAAGAGGACATGTCCAGGTTTCCCCAGACATATGGCAACCCTATGTTGGCTGGAACATCTCCTTGACCTTCCCTCCTTCCCTACTGTACAAAGGTGGATTTTCTAGTCATTGCTCTGCCCACTTTTGCCTCTGGCCCCACCCACCACTCTTATGTGGCCCCGAGAAGGGAATGTGGTCTTTGGGCTGAAAAAAAGGTTTCCCACTCTTGCCTTAGTTGTGTCCAGTGGCGTAGCGTGGGTTGTCAGCACCCGGGGCAAGGCAAGTAATTTGCGCCCCCTAGCCCGTGGATTTTAGCAGGGGGCAGAGAGCTGCGAGTGCGAGCGCGCCCCCCCCAGATGTTGCGCCCGGTGCGGCCGGCCCCCCCTGCACCCCCCACGCTACGCCACTGGTTGTGTCTCTTGTAAAATCTAGTTCCAGAATCAGAACATAACTGATTCCCGATGCTGCTGTTTGTACAAGTGTGTGTGTGTGTGTGTGTGTGTGTGTGTGTGTGTGTGTGTGAGAGAGAGAGAGAGAGAGAGAGAGAGAGAGAGAGAGAGAGTGTACAGGCAAGTTGAATGCAGTCAGTGAAGAGAATGGCAAGAGTAAGAGGTTGCATGAGCCAATAGCTCCTTTCTTCCATTGAATGCCCCTTTCATTCACCCCATTAATGTGTGTTCCCCTCCCCTAAAAAGTAAGCAATTTAACTTAAAGGTGCTGCCCCAGCACTGTTCACCAAAGCCATTGCAATACATTCCTGTTTAGTTCCCTGCTAGTTACAGACCAAGTGACAAATCAACAAGCAACCAGCTGAATGCTTGAACCACAAACACACACCCCCTGCCTCCCTCCAGTCATCAAGGGCAAAAACAGAGCTGCACCCAGCTTCATTAATGGATCTTAGAAGGACCCCCCACCATGTGATACAGACAGTGGGAGAGTATTAAGCACCAATCATCCTTTGCTTTTATTTGCACTTATCTACGCAGATGAAAGAGGGGGGAGTTTGCTGACACTCTGCTTCTGGGAATCAGGCATTGCTCAGATCATTTATTTGGGGTGTTTAGCTAATAAAAGTGCAGAATTGCCTCTTTAATCTTGCCGTTGGCATAGATGTAACATGAAGAACAAAGACAGACATATCTGACGATGGCTGAGAATATCTGTGCATCGTATACACTCTGATGTTTATGGTGGTTACACGGCCGAAGTTGGAGACCCTTTGCCATTAGAGGCCTTGGGAGACTAGTTTGATTAATCCAATCAAAACCAGGGCCTCTTGAGTTGAAGGCAGTACAAAGATACAGACTTAAAAGAGAGGATAGAGAGAGGTCCCGCCAAAAGGATTAGGTCACAGAAAACAAAGCAATAATAATGAGGGGAGAAACGGGGGAGAAAAAGGAAACGGGGCCTAATAAACTGCCTTATGCTGAGTCCAACATTGTAAACTTGTCCATTTGGACAAATGGGGCACTGCCCCTCCAGTCTCAGTCCGTCTTCAGACAACCTACACCTGTTTGCCTTCTTACTTACAACCAATCCAGGTGTGGCGGGTTTCGCACAAATTCCTTTTCCTTAGTCTCAAAGTGGTTTTTTTCCACTTGGAGGGGAGCGGGGAGGACAGAACTATGTTTATTCAGCTATGCCTGTCATATAAGCACATATGAGTGTGCTATATCAGTGTGGTATAGTGGCTAGAGTCTCTGACCAGAACCTGGGAGACCAGGGTTCAGATCCCACTCAGCCAGGAAGCTAAGTGGGTGACCTTGAACCAGTCACTGCCTCAGCCTAACCTACCTGACAGTTGCTGTTGTGAGATAAAATAGGAACTGGGAGAGAATGGTGTACATCCCTTTTGGTTCCTCATTTCCCCCCAATCAATTACAACCTGCTGCTATCCCTAATCAGCACAGACAAAAGCATTTACAGTAACTCTTTATTTTGATAGGCAATAAGAAGAAATGAAGCATGCCAAATGGAAGTTTTTTCTTAAAAAGGGGTGGTGGTGGGTTTTTTCAGGTGGGAAGAACATATCCTGTGCTGGTGATGTGTCTTTAAAAAATGGCCCAGCTCAGCCTGATTTGCTGTGTTATGATTATTGGCTTGATCTATTTGTGTGCTCCATGTTCATTCAGAGGACTCTCCATATATATTCCAAATCCAATAATCCATGTCCTCGTTTCTGTTGATTTTTATTATTATGAGCCTCATAGAAAGAGGTTTACAGTTGGGTTTCATCTGATGCATGTCGGACCTCCTGTGCAATTGCTAAGAGCCAAGGCTACAGGACAGGGAAGCCACAAACTGTATTCTCCTGCTGTTCCCACTCCTGTTTGTGTGTCCTGCCCCACACTTCGCTCACAAGGGAAGAAGAGAGGTCACCTTGGCAAGCAAGACCTGTTTCTTCTTTCTCTGGTCTGGGACCAGTCCATTTTTACCTTAGAAAAAGCATCCTAACTGTAACGGCAAGCTGCTCTCGGGGAGGCGATGAGACAGTCTGCCAGGGTTTTTCAAGAAAATGTTCAGGAGATATACGTATGTTGGACATAATAGTAAAATCATCTATTGCGTTCCTTCTATGACTCTATGGGCACCATATGTGTTAAACCAGTTTTAAACCTTCTTCATCTTCATGGCTTCCCTTGAAGTCCTGAGAACAGGGATTCCCACCCCGAAACAACCATTTCCAGAGTTGCCATTCATGCTAGTCAAACTGGATTAAAACGAGATTGCATTTGCAGTGGAGGCATTTACTAAGCCTGTGAAACAAACACCTAGACCAAGTTGTTTTCTCACTTTAGTTGCCACTGTATCGTTGATTTCAGTGGAAAAGAATCCTGAGTTATCTCAGCATAGGAAGGAAAATATCATATGTACTCAGGAGGATTCACTGCAGCAATTGTTGAATCTAATATCAAATATTAGCTTTTCCCCATGGTTGGACCAAACAAGGCACCCTCTTCCCTTGGGGTATCAATCAAGAAAGATCGTAGCACTGGGTAGGATGAAGCAAGGTGCATGGTGGGGAGGAAGACTGACTCTTCTCCATCTGTCTTGTGTGATAGGTAGGAGGTTGTCTGAGGTCCAATGAGTACATTGGATTCCCTGCAGCTGCCAGCTGTTGATATACAAACTGTCATCCCAGGAGAATTTCATCATTGTCTTCTCACTGCCTTGAAGGTGCTGCCAGATTGGCCTTCTGAGGGGTGAATTACCAGGCAGGGAAAGATAAATAGGACTGTGCCAGACACATTGCTAACCTTCCAGCGTTGCAAAGATGATACCTCTTCTGCCTTCAAACAAGATAAATACTGGGACTTTGTGGGCAATTTGAGAAAATAACATCCCAATCCAGAATTATCCATCATCTGGCCAGGGACAGAGGGGGGTGCTGCTGGCACTGAGACAGGCACCTCCACACGCAAGTACTAGTAAAGAGGAGGATGAAGGGGGGCAAGGAGGTGAGAAGAGAGGGAGGCAGGCAGGAGAAGTGAGAAGAGCCACTCTCAGGGCCTGAACAAATGGTCAGAGAAAAGCAGGGGAAGTAAACAGCAGAATAATCTTCAGCATCCTGCTCTACGCATCGGATTTCAGTTCAGCTCTGCCTGTGGAGACGTTAATGAGAAGGCATTAATGGTCAGAACCATTCTCCAATATTCACCTAGGGCACTGGTTTTCAAATGGTTCTGGGAAACCCTGAGGTTTATCAGTGATAAAATCAGCCATGTCAGAGAAGATGCCCTGAGAGGCAGCCTGCTCATTGCTAATGAACTTCCCCTGCAATTAATAACTGCGGCAAAGAATTGAATTTGTTCTGGTGTGCTTTGCAGTTCAGATGAGTGGATGCTGAAGTCAAGCAAGCCTGCTCAGTGTCAGAGGTGGATTTAGGGGGTGCTTCGACAAGAGGGTGCCACAAGGGTGCCACCACAATGACTTAGAATGGAAGGTGAGAGGCAGGGGAGCACCAAATTTTGGCGTCGCACCGGACACTGCTGAAATTTGAAAGCCCCAAATCTGCCACTGCCAGTATATCCTAAAATGCACCCCAGAATCCTCTCTGCAGGGATTCTGTGGAAGGCATATTGCAGGAGTTCCTCAGCAAGCAGGTCAGTAGGAACATTATGAAGATTTAAAATCCCTGCCCCAGTGGGTGTCTCAATTTCCTTCAAGGCTGTTGAGTGGTTAATCATAGTTCATGATCTGCATGATTTGCTTCTTTTTGATTTCCTAAACTAAGTCAGAGAGCTCTTCATGATTTTAAAAGCAGCTATAATACATGGTAAAAAAATGTAACCATAATACCAATATATTGTAAAATATCCCACTGAAATAGCTTCGGATTAATACTTGAGCATTTGGTGGTGCCTTCAGTTTAAAAATAGTTTAACACTGGATGAAATGATGATTAATTTGTAAAATGAGAGGCACCACCAGTTGAGCCTGCCTGGACCTTGAAAACATGACACACACTCCAGATATGTAAGGGTGAGCTTAGGTTACTCGGGGAAAGCACTCTGAATATATTTGAAGTCATTTTATTCCTCCTTCAGAAACAATATTAGAGTTGTATCCAACATTTATTCTGCTCAAAGTAGACCCACTGAAATTAATGTTAGTCGTGTCCATTAATTTCAGTGGGTCTACTTTGAGTAGAACTGATATTAGAAGATAATATTTAGCCTTTCTGGAGCAGCTCACACAGACACGCCTCCCTATCTGACACAGTTAGGAAATGTCTTGCTTCTGAAGAAGAAACTTTAGTTCTGAAACACACACTGAACTACAAACACTAAAACTTTAACAACTGGCACTTGTGAGGATCAGTTCCTCTTTTTCATTTTTTTTCTTTTTTTGCTCCTGCTTTTTGTTACATTTTTGTCACACATCAGGGAAATGGCATTTCAAAGGGTGGAATGCCAAGAATACCTCTCTCTCTCTATCCTTTGTATTCATACCCAATGCTTGCGGGACATCCTCTAGCACAGGAGTGGGAAACCTTTGGTCCTCCAGATATTGTTGAATAAATTAATAATAATAATAATAATACTTTATTCATACTCCGCCCATCTGGCTGGGTTTCCCTAGCCACTCTAGGCGGCTGCCAATAGAATATTAAAAACATGATAAAACATCAAACATTAAAAACTTAGATGTCTTCTAAAAGTCAGGTAGTTGTTTATTTCCTTGACATCTGATGGGAGGGTGTTCCACTGGGCGGGCACCATTACCGTGAAGGCCCTCTGCCTGGTTGTTGAACTACAACTTCCATCAGCCCTACCAAGCATGGCCAATAGCCATGGTTGATAGCAGTTGTAGTTCAGAAACATCTAGACAGCCAAAAAATTTCCCCACACCTGATTTAGAGGCTGCTTGGACATCATCTGGAGGATGCTTGAGCAGATTGTACAAATTGTGATGAAATGTTGTAAGGAGAAGAAGTTTCATAGGTCAAAACCAGGATCTAGGCTGACAGCTGGAACACAATCAGAAGCCAAGACAGCTCACCAGAACACTAGTGTTATATGTTCTTAGATGTTCAGGTGAAGGGTTGCCAGATTTCATTTCAAAGTCAACTTCTTCTCATTGTTTTGGGTTGATAAAAAGTGCTCATGGACCCTGCTGTGATTTGAAGTCCCAGATATAATGATTATACAAAGAGCAAGAGTGACAGTGGTGAATTAAAAGAGGTGCAAGACTTCATCAATGAGATGACCTCCATTGAGTGATGATTTTCAGGAGGCTATTTTCACTCAATCCTTTGGAGTCCCAGAGAGATGAGAAATTTGTAGCAAATGTAGCCTAGAAGAAGTATATCATCTGTTCCCTATCCTCAAACTTAGGAGTGCTGATTGGAAAAAGAACTAAGGGCCATGTGTCATGTCACATCAAATTTAGTGTCAAGTCAAATAAGGACCATGGGGAGATGATTGCTTCTTTATTAATCTTAAAAGCATTCAAGATGAACTGTCAGTTATGTTCACTTGCCAGTCTAGTTAAAGAATCGTACAGCCAATCCCCATATGGTGCCTAAATCCCTCATTTCTTGGAATCCTGGGCAGATCTTGCTAATTTAGGGAGAGCTGCATCATGTAGAAAAGTGAAAACAAAAGATCAGAAAAACAGAGTGGCCATTTGAGTACACCTCTCCCTGCAGAAATCCGGGCTTATGGTGCTGCTGCAAACATTCTTTCAGGTGTTTGCAATGCACTGCATTAAATGGAGGACTTTGCACATCAGAGAGCATGCAGACAATCACTTTACCATGCATACATACCTTCATGGTAGAAAAGTCAGAATGGATAGTCCTGGGAAAGGAGCTTACTTTTCAGATGCTACTTTTCAGATCACCAGATGCTGATGCTCTTTCTTCACTGTTCCAGTTGTGTATCTTTTGTACATGTTCTAAAATGTCTGATTCGTGTTATGTTAGTATGGGTTAGTCCTGGGCTTGAGTCACTTCCTATTTGTGTGGGTGATGTCCCTGGGCACTTTGTGGATTAGCTGTTGCAGACTCTCCTGAGTGATTTGTGACCCTGACAGTTTGAATTGTGGGTAAACTGTACTCCAAATGGGCAGCAAATTGGAAAACTCTGGCTCCCTGTGGAACAGCCATTCATCATGCTAATATGAAGCTGCTGCCACTGCCACCCTCTAACCATCCCCCTCTTGGGACTACAGCAGAGGGGAGGGCTCCCATAATTTATGTCATGCCAGCAGCTCTAGCAAACTTCCTCAACCTCACCCTTGCTCTGATCTGACTCCCAGCTCTCACATTCCATTCGGCTCAAGAACCAATGCTGTGTCAGTGGGTGAGAGTAATGGATATAGCAGAGATGAGGAGTGGTTGCCCTGGGGCTCAATGACCCATCCATGCCAAGTACAGAAGTAGCAAGAAAGGGGGAGATTGCACATTGCTCAGACAAATCAGTGCTTATCTGCAAGGCCAATTGGTACACACTGATGCCACTGAGACTACCAATGTGCATAAGCTATTCAGCTGCTGCAAGGGACGGTGTCTCAGAGTGTGCCCTCTGCAGATCTCTTGTTAAATAGAGTGATTTAATTTACTGAAATTGGGAGTGCTTGAATGCATTACTGTTTGTTTAATTCTGGAATGTTCCCCAGTAACTCTTGTGTGATTGGTTAACTTTGGTCACATGGGAGGTATCTTATTACAGTCTCCATTTTGTTTTGTGTGTGAGTGATTTGCCTGGAATGGCTGCATCTCCATGAACACTGAAGAAGAGACAGTGTTAGATAAGACAGTGTCTATCTAAACGCAACAGAGGAGAGGAGTGCTAATGTTTCTGTGTGAATGTATGTGCCAAAAATAAGTATAGAAGTTGATGTTCTCCCAAAGAATCAGTAAGGAGCTCATGGGGCTCTTTCACATCATCTCCTGCCTGAACTTTCTGCATGCAAAGTATGTGTCCTACCGCCAAGCTATGGTCCTGCTCCACTGACTTTAATGGGGCTTACTCCCAGGTAATCATCAGGATGAAGTAACCACCACACCTGTTGATGGAGCTGCTAATGAATCTTGCAAAGTATTTCCAGCAACCTGTTGTCATGTACTTCAGTGGGGCTACACGCAACCATTCGACATGGAACTACCGCCCCACCCAATAATTCTATAGGGACATCCTCTGACTATCAGAAGCATCTTTGATTTGAAACTGAGCGCTATGGCACAATTCAAGATTTGACTTATGCACATGCTTGGAACCTCATCTCTCCTGCTATGCACTAGAGGGGATATATTTGTAGCCTAGGTGTATGCTGGAATCCTATATAGTCACAGAGCATGCCAGTCACTGTACCTGGTTTTCAAAACTCAGATCTCCTGCTAGGGAATGGCAGTGGTTCTCCTCTCCTCTCCTCTCCTCTCCTCAGCAACCTGCCAAATCGAGAAGCTCTCAAATTAATTATTCTGAGCCAGAGACAAACCAGGAAGTCTGCAGCAGAATCAATTAATGAAACCCTTCAGCAAACACACACACACATATATGAAATCTCTGTGATGACAGGTCAGGTATCTGGACTCTTGCAGCCAGCTTTTTAATCTCCTATTGAACCATATATCTTCTGATTGCTTTTGTCAGAGCTCTAAATTTAATAACTGAACTAACTGTCTTCTCTCATTGTTCGCATATAAATAAGCGTGTGATCAATAAATAGCATCTTTAAAAGCACCTAGTTGTGAAAAATGAGGTGTGTGAAGCCTGAAGATAGGTGCAAGAAAATTATGGTTTTGAGTCTCCAGTGCAGCATTTTAAAAAGGGGAAAGTACATTAAATGTTCTTTGACGCTAAAGGCATCACATCAGTGGCAATCATAGGCATCTTTGTATACTTAACTGAGAATGACAACTGAAATTGGATGTATATCGCCTTGACTTGATGCCTTTAAAAGGTTGAATTGGGCAAAATCTCAACAGGTGCTGTATGCCCAATGAAATGGTGATGCAGGAATGGTTAATATAAAGAGCATATTATTTACACGTGACACATCTAATAGTACCACAGGGCCTTATTCAGATAATTTGTATCCAAATGGGATCGTGGGACAGAAAGCAGAGGAGCTCCATTTTCACTGAAAATGCATTGTAATCAAAGTGATGTTTTCACCTGAATGATTACATTAGGAAATGCTAAAACAGATTAAAGCATCATATTGTTACGGGTTTGTAGGATTCCCTAAAATGGGTTTGTAGGATTCCTTAAAATTCCCAAGGATTCCCTAAAATTCCTAGCTACCAGGTTCTCCACATAATTTCTGAAATTAGTAAATGTGGACTTGAAGTCAAGCCAGCACCCTCAGGATCTGATCTTAGAGAGGTGCCATCCAAGAACAAAGACAAGTGATAGCAGAGTCATTATTCAGACAAAAGGTGAGACATTCAGTATCAGACAAGAAAGGGGGAGGCTGCCAAGATTACAGATGTGATGTCACCACAGGAAAAAGTGCCTTTTGCAGGGGATTTTTGAATGGAGGTGATGGAGAGATAGCGAGGATATGGGAAATGGGAGGGGAGGAGGTTTTTTTCTGCAAACACTGCTGGGAAGGAGGAGGACGTTGGCAGAACATCATGTGGGAACTGAAGGCCAGAACCATGTTGGCAGACTGAGACAGAGGCACGGAGATGGCTTGGACTTCAGTGCTGCACTGCTGTGGAGAACAAGCCCCTCTTGCTACGCAAATACTGTACAGGTTGCACTCCCTCCATCTGCACCCAGTTTGTGAATATGTGTAAAATAAACTATGTTTCTTAAAGACATGACAGTCTACATTGTGTCTTGATTCCCAACAGAACCGCGACCGTGGGTACATGCTTGAAACCCCCTGGAAACTTGCTGCAGCTCAGCAGAGATAGAGTGGTGCACAACTTTCGTAACAATACAGCGGAACCTCGGGTTACAGTGGGGTCCATTCCAGAGGCCCCGCCGCAACCCGGAAATGACACAACCCAAAGCGACATGTCTGCACACACGCAGGGCGTGATTTAGCACTTCTGTGCATGCACGAACAGTGCGAACCCAGAAATAACCCGTTCTGGTAACAAGCTGAGGGTGACATAAGCCAGAGGCAACGTAACCCGAGGCTCCACTCTATCATGAAACGCACACACACCTGGCTATAAAAAATTGACAACAAATTTTAAAAT